TTTTACAGCATATCCAACAATCTCCCACTTACTTAATAAGCTCATGGCTATCATTAACCACAATTTTCTTTCAATCTAATTCTCAAAGAATTGTTGTTCTTTCTGCCATACATCCGACTCCCAATCCTTTGACATGGCCCTCATCCGCTTTCACCGGAAAGCCAATCCTAAAAGGATTTTACCGAAGTCTCCTGACGTAACTAGGCGACAAATGTCCACCCTGTCGCAGTCCTTTGCAACTGGCGTACTTGCTCTATGTGCCACTTGCTTTATGAACTAGTGATTCCTCTCTGTCTTAACTGCACCAATTGTCATCACAATCCATTGTGACCTTACTTGGTCTGACAAGGTTTCACATTTTTAGTTCAATGGCGAATCCAATCTCTACGTCGCTCGCCTTTTGGGAAGGGACGCACTGAGTTTCTTATGGTGGAATTTGTCAACGTATTATCGTTTGACATTCCTCCATTCTGCTTGGCTCCCACAAGTGAACACAAACTATAAGGTGGTTTTTACTTGTTGTTCATGTCCGATTTAGAAATCAAAATCGTTTGTAACCAAAAGGTTGCTTATGATTCGTTCTGTAACCATACATATTATCCTTAGCCCTTTTACGGAACTTGATAATATGTTCTACCTTGAACCAACTGCTCCTGTCTAGGATCACTTCGATATCTACTCATTATGCCCTTGGCAATAATAGACATCAAGTCTCATTTACCACATGGCACATACTAGGCTTCCTTTTGCCGAGGACAAGGAACTACCTTTGTGTCATGCAAATTTTGAATGAGCCTTATGATAGTATCTGGATAATGAAATTTGGGATAATCACAACATATCTTTCTTGTGATCCTCAATCTCAAGAATATTTTCCGAATCCTTCATATCCAAATACTTGGATAACCATACCCTTGTGTCTTTCAACACTCTCACACTGTCTCCAGTGATCAAGATGTTGTCAACACATAGTACAAAAATACCACCACGCTTCTATTGCACCAGTCACAATGCTCATTTGTTGAATAATCGAATCCACGATTCGAACTTATCAACCAAATGTCCAGCTCATTATAATCCATAAATGAACTGTTTCAGTCTAGTGACTAGATGCTCATAGCCCTTTTCTAATGAACACTCCTGGGTGCTGCTCATGGATATTCCCACAAGACTCCCAGTTAAGGAAATGTCTTGACATCCACTTTGCCTAATCTCATAACTCATATGAGTGGCAACAGCTTTAAATGTGGCTACTTGTGAAAAGACTAACTCATAATAGATCTCATTCTTTCTGAGTCTGCTATTTCACAACAAGCCTTGTACTAAAGTCTTCACTTATAGATTTCATCCGATAGCCCATATGCTACTAGGTAATTCTATAAGAACCCGGATCTGATTAGAGTCCATGACTCCAAATCAGAAATCATTAAAACTTTGCTACGTTTCTACATCTTTGTCTTGGATCTACTCATTGTATAACTAGGGATGAATTCAAGTTTACTAGAGACTAAGTCCGGGACTTTTCTCAAAACATGAATATCATGATCTCGTGTTTACTAGAGACCGATTCCAATGACTCTCTCATTGTCACGATTTCATGGAGTTTTTTTGCAACCCTCCCACTACAACGAGGTTCCCTCTGCAAAAGTGTATAGCACAAAATACGTGTTGCAGTCTTTATTGTGGTATCACATTTGTACACTTGGTAACAAAGTTGAACATTCACCTTTATCTTTCCTCAAACAATTCTACAAATGGGTTTTGTGGTTTATTACTTAGTATTCCTCTAAAAATCAGGCATTCGTTCTAACGATCACCTTCTGACTTTTAGTACTATAAAATAATCCACTCATTCTCGTTACTATGAAGTATCCCATAAATAGCCTATTTTCCGAACAACCTTTCAAATCCTATTAGTATCATCCTTTCCAGCAGGTGTGCCGAAACACTCTGAATCTAAATGTATTCCTGACTATGCCTATGCCTTCGTCTACAATTCATTCAGAGTAATGACTACTAACTTATATGGAACTATGTTCAGAACTTACCCTGCTATTTGCACAACTCTAACACGAAAAAAAAAAAAAGAAATTCTTAATAACACATCCTTCACATAACCAATCTACTTAAAAGACATTTTCCTTCGTCAAGTTACATCGTCCCGTTCCGATGAACTAGATGCAACCTGTTGAGACCATATCTCAACATCCAACAAGTATTTCCATGATTTTCCAAAAGGTATTAGTCACTACGATTTCGATCGTAATGCCACTGATACATTAATCTCGACAATTTTCCACAACTGCCATTGCACTCTTTCGATGTACTTAAGCTTATGGAATGTCACTTAATGTACCCTATTTTGAACAAATTTCTTCAAATAAAAAATATCCAAAACTACCTTTTTGTCCTAAAAATTATAGAACTTCACAAATTGGATGAATTAATCCTAACATATGTTTGGCTTCTAAATCCCTTGACCTACAAAAGGTCATTTATGTAATTTTAGCTACTAAGTATAATTCGTAGGTCAGATAGTATCATCCATTCCCAAAGAACCCATAAGTTCAGTGGCTATCCACCTTTGAATTCTACTATTGCTAAAATTCCCAAATACTAGATGCCAAAAATAAGGTATGGTTCATTCATTGAAGGATTTTTTTTTTATTGATTCTAGTCAATGTGCTATTTATTTCATCAACTGCACCTGTGAGATATTTTTGCTCCTTGAGTTTATAAATTGTCTACCCACATACCATATGGATAAAACGTCACATTTTTACCCATATCCAATTTAGAAACTGAACACGAGTTCTTTCTAAACTTGGCACGTGAAGACAATTACTCATAAATCAAAATTTCTATAAAAAACTCATTCTGAGATATTTTTGGTTCCTTTGAGTTTACAAACTGTCCTACCTTGTACCAAATGGATAAAACGTTTTGCTTTTCAAACCAGCAAACGTAACATCCATATAGAATTTAGAAACTGAAGGTGAGTTCTTTCTAAGACTTGGCATATAAAGACAATTACTCATAAACCAAAATTTCTATAGAGAACTCCCACTGCAATAGTCGCCATTTTCGTAGCAAAACCCATTCTAGATGATAATCTACCTATCACATGTCGATTGGTTTCCTGGAACTTTTTTACATAATTAGTGGTTACGTATCTATTCACCAAGTACTGATAGATAACACCATTAAAAATGTTTCGACTTTCTAGTGAATTAAGATTTTTCTTATCTTAAGAATAGGACAGTTCATCTTCCTATGTCCATTTTGCTTAGACCGGAATACACTCGTCCTTTGACTTGTATTCCTTAGCAAAATAAGACATTATCCAAGTTCTATTTCTAATCATCTTTGAACAAGTAAATTATCTTTGAGAATTTCAGACAACGGATTAAAAGACATTTTGAATTCCTGGGATCATGCAAACATAGTCTTTACTCAGTCAAGTGTTTTTGAATTTAACATCAAATATTGATCCCGTCAAAACAACATTTGAATAAATTCACCGACATCTCAAAACACCGAATCCCCACAGGCCACGGAGTGTGGACGTCTACGGTTCAATACATCGCAAGAGGAGGGAGTAATCCCATTAATTAACATACCATACTTAATTAATAGTCGGTTCATCTTTTGGCCAGCGCACTGAGTCAATGTGTTCCAGGTTCTTTATTAGAAGAAGGAACTTATTGAAATAAAAACAACCTTTTCCTGTGGGAATATCGTTTTAATTTGCACTTTAAGTGTAACCCATTAACTGGTACCAAGTTCACTATCAAAATAATAAGTTCATCTGTGGATGACCCGTACTCTTTTGTAATAGCTCGCTATTACCATCCCGAAGGAGATCTGTCCTTGTGAACTGTGAAATAAAACGTCCTGTGGGCTCGATTTAAATCACTTCACTAACAAACCTATAATGGAGGCCTTGGATGTAATTTATTTCAACCCATTACACACTTAATATAATATTTATTTTAGAGATTTTATAAATCATGCCTCTAACAATTTAACTTGCACATAAAGCAATTATATCACATAGAGCATGCATGATTAATAGGCAATAATAAACTAGGAACTATAATCCAACTATCATGGGCATTTAATCAATCTCCAATATTACGGAGAAACACAATCCTGTCCTTTGAATGTGTCTTCCGTTTCAGGAATTGGAACACCCCTTTCGTAGTGACTCCCACTCTTCATTCTGAATAGGTCATCTCCGGGAAAGTTGCCATTGGATCATCACCATGGCTTTCGTCTAGGCGTTTATCGCCTCGCCCCGTCGAGGTTGGTTAACGTCCGCCGGATCAATAATGAATAATATAAAACAGCAATTACATAATTCATCCTATGACCCGCGCAGGAGTCGTACATGAGTTATCTATGAAAGCAGTAAACTATGCGGTGTCCCACCGCGCGAATAATTTATTACAAGCATTCACCAACTAAAAAAAACTCCTCGACATGTCCGAGGCTTATAAAACGACATACATGAATTAAAAGCATACAAACATACGGGCCATAATAGTTGGATTCAAGAATACCTGCAAACAATCACTTATTTGCAATTCTAATCTATTATGCGCTGCGTCCGTACACAATTAATTCACATATATCACGCAAGTCCTAATTCGAATAGTGCACAAAGTCGAATTAGCCTGGGCTCTGATACCAGTTGTTGGGTTCTATTAGGAACGTCGACAATGTGCACATTCAAATCTATTGAATAATAAATCCTAACGCAGCGGAATCTATAGTTAGGATTAGGACTTACGGTTTAAAATTTTTTAGCCGACTCTGAGTCATTTCTGATTTCCGATGATGGAGATTGTCTGTTTACCACAACCCAATCGGTTGAAGGGTTTGGCCTTTGTCGACTCTAGTCGAGTGTTGAATCACGAACGGATCGCCTCGGACCTTCAGTATGTGAACCAGACCATTCGGACTGCTCGGGAACCGCCTTGGACATGAACCGGGACTTTTTAGATCCACCTGAATGTAGCTGGACTGCCCGGAGCAAGCTGGGCAAGTTCTGAGCATGCTGGACCAGATCTGGGCACCTTGGAGCGTCCCTGGGCCTCGCTGGTGACAATTGGGTTGCTTTGGACGAGCTGGGCCGCGTCTTGGAGCGCGCTGGACTGTGGTGTAACGCCCTACTTTGATTTTAAAGAAATTCCAGACTTTCAGAAAAATCAGAATAAATCTTTCAAAATTTATTTCAAACATTTGTGGCGTTACTCATTTATTTCAAATCATTACCATAACATAAATCATCTAACTCCCAAAACGGGATTCATAAATCCATAAATCATCAATTCGCCCTAATTGGGTTCACAAAATAAAACATAAGTTTTCAAGACATAACAATGTCAACGGGACATCTCCCCAATAGTATCTCAATACTTCAAAAACTCTCAAAGTTCGAAAATACATAAATCATAAAATGTTATAATTATAGCGGAAGTAAAATCAATTATTAACCGGTCTCATAGACCGACTACCACTCGCTCTACTCCGTCATCGTGTCTGCCTTGCTTAACCTGAAACGTGAATTTCACAGGTGGGGATGAGCACAGTTGGAAATTGTAGTGCTCACCACTATGCAATAAACAATTTTCATAGTATATACAGTAAAAGAAGTTGTATGATCATAGTAAGTATAAGAATCAATCAAGTGTCCCCAAATTTTCATCGTAAATTCACAGTGTTCAGACTCATGTGCACATCTATACCAATAGACTACTGCCGGTAGACGTATCGAATGCCCCTCGGGCTTCTATCGAATGCACCATGGGCTTTACGTCTATGCCCCTCGGGCTTCTATCGATGCCCAGTCAGTAGGAGTAACCCCTCGGGTTTTCATTTCATAAATACAGGGACAACCGTTCGACGGCCGGTACAGCTCACATCGAAGGCTACATGATTCGTAGGCATACATCAATCATACACAAGTAAAGAAAACTATTCATTGCATAGACCATTTCTTTTTAATAAAAAAAAACCCACCTGGTCGAAAGTAAGAGATAACACAATGCACGTGTAGGCGGCGAGCCCGACTCGTCAAGCACCTACATATATTAAAATAATCCTATAAATAACTATTCTACACATGGATACACACATTTCGACATTCATGTGATCAGACTCAACTCTTATGGTTCATATAAACAAGCATTCAAAAGATATATTTGATTTTATTTATTTATTTATTTTTTTNTATATTTGATTTTTGGAAACAACACATAAATTTTCAAAATACAACCCGCGCAGCGATTTTGAAATCGACACCATATACAGTACATAATTGTTATTGACACGAATCCAATTGAATATGAATCCTAAGACATGCCTCGATCATACTTATGAAGACATCAGAAGCAAATAATGGAATTTAACAGGTCATAAATTATCAAACATTTGACAAAGGGATGCTGTGAAAAATCTGGAAACATATAACGGACATGACCTCAGTATTTTTCATTTAAATGGAGCTACAGACATGCTATCAAGAAAATTCTAGAACCAAAATGCAGCTAACTCAAATATCTACAATGTTTCTGAAGACCATTTGACAAAAAATGATGTTATCAATGAGTTTAAACCTAAAACCTCCGGTTCATAAAATCTGCCACACGCCAACTTATTTTTATAAACAGCACCTCAGTATATAGACTCTAACTCAGGCTACAAACCTTAAATTACCATGCTTCAAAGACCAATGGACAGAGTAGAAGTAAGGCTAATGTTTTCATGAAGACCACGTTTCCGTTCGAGCACATATAGACATCGAAAACAAGCCATACATAAAATAAATACATGCTGCCGGGATTTATTGAAATCTGCTTGCACGACAATTTTATAAAAATCATAACTCACTCGTTTCAAATCGGATTTTCAAAATTCAAATTCTTACAGAAAGAAAACAGGATAAACTACATTTCATATGAAGATGACATCTTCATAAAACGATTATTTCATGACCATTATTGCAGTACAACAGAGGCTGGAACAATCACGATTATAATGCAAATGGTAATTCAACTTCGCCAATTAAACCTTCATGCCATAATCAGCATCATAAACATAAATTTCCTACTCATAATACATGATAACAATGGCAGGGATTTCGAGTATCATGTCATAACATTAAAAGGCACATATATAATTCCAACGAATTCAATTAACCCGAACATATTAATATGAAATCTTAGAAAAATACTCGTATCAACGCATACGCATATATATTAAACGAAGGCTTCAAGGAATCGAGTACCGTTCTAGGGATTAGTACTCAAAGATGAGTAAGAGAGGGGCTAACGGGGTCGACGGTGGCGCTCGGCGGTTGCACGCGACTGACGGCTTGTTTGGTTCTCTAATGTCCTTAGCTTTCCTTGTTGACTTTTGGCTGGGAATTATGATCTTAAAAGACTTCTAATAATCCAATAACCATATTGGATATGCTGAGACTCGAGAAAATTTGCATGGAAAAAGATGAACTTTGCTACCTCTCTTATTTTCTCTTCTTGCGCACAAATGGACTTATGCTATATTGCTCTTGGTTTTTCCTTATTTTCTCTCAATATGCTCAAACCTTCTTATAGCAGAAAACTTCAGCTGATACATGACTTATAATGCTGATATAGTTCGAATGAAACCATATAAAAAAAAAAAAACATCAAAGTAGACAAGGTGGTTTAACTCCTCTCACCTTATGCGCATGAGTTGGCATAGTTGACTTGACATTTCTCCCTTCTAAACGTGAATGTAGCTGAATTAATAACTCTGGTTGGAATCTCACATGCATAAAGCATCTTAATGTTCATTCTTTGGTAATACAATACAAAAACAATGTCTTACACCTTCGTTATTTTATTCCTTAAACACATATGTCTTGATTCAAACCTTGTGGACTTGCCTTCCACCTCACATGGAGCAACCTTGGCTTAAAATAATCCTCATACACCAGGTAATATTCGTACATGCTGAGGCTGGATAAAAATTGAACCATGAAATGGGCCATTGGCTCAAGAAATGTGAGTGGTTCGCTATTTATTACCCCCGACAATAAGTTGCGCAAAGTGAAACTACAAGGGCTTTGACTATTGCTAATTCTTCCAAGATTTACTTAGGCTTAGAAAAATTCTTAATAAGCTCTTAATCACATGCATGAAACGTGGCTAAGACCATGAATATGAAAGGGTCACAAACAAATTAAAACGGACAACAATTCGGCTTACTCGATTAAACTGAAAATTTACACGGCGACCGATAAAATAAAATCGAACGAGCTATATAATTATATTATCCACATAATGATATAATATATTATCACATAAATCAAGGCTTATAAATAATAAAAAAAATGCCATTAATTAAAATAACTCGGAAAAATCTAATATTCGAACGGGGCGCTACAGTCTACCCACCTTAAAAGGCATTCCGTCCTCGGAATTTGTAAACAAAAGAAACCATCCCGTTAAAAGAAATACAAAATAAATCAAAACGCGAAGTTCGGGTATTTCTTCCTAATATCGGCCTCACGCTCCCAAGTCGCCTCAGACTTGTCATGTCGGCTCCACTGCACCTTCACGAGACTAACTGCCCTGTTCCTCAGCTGATGGACCTTTCGGTCCAGTACGGCCACCGGTACCTCCTCATAGGTAAGGTCTCGCTCGACCTGCATCTCGCCAAAGTCCACCACGTGGTCAGGGTCATGCACATATCTCCGCAACATCGAGACATGAAACACGTCATGCACTCCCGACAAAGCTGGTGGTAAAGCTAGCCTATAAGCTAAGTCTCCAACTCGAGCAAGGATCTCAAAGGGCCCGATATAGCGAGGTCGAAGCTTCCCCTTCTTTCCGAAGCGAATCACACCCTTCATGGGCGAGACTTTCAGAAAGACATGGTCACCAATTGCATACTCGTGCTCCTGCCTCTTCCGATCGGCGTAGACCTTTTGCCTCTCTTGGGCAGACCTGATCCTCTTTCGGATCTCCTCAACCTGTTCCGAAGTCCTACGAATGAACTCCGGACCCATAATCTTCCTTTCTCCAACCTCATCCCAATAAATGGGAGTCCGAACCTTCCGTCCGTACAAAGCCTCGAACGGTGCCATCTTGATCGAGGCGTGATAACTATTGTTGTAAGACAACTCGACTAATGGGAGTGAACTCTCCCAAGTTAGGCTCCGGTCTAAGACCACAGCCCTCAGAATATCCTCTAGATACTGGATCGTCCGCTCCGATTGACCATCCGTTTCAGGGTGAAAGGCTGTACTGAATTCCAACCTCGTCCCCATGGCTCGGTGCAAACTCTTCCAGAACTGACTCGTGAACTTCGGATCTCGATCCGATACAATCTCCACGGGCACCCCATGAAGTCGAACAATTTCGTCAGCGAACAACTCGGCATAATCACTAGCCTTCATAGTCGTCCGCACGGGTAGAAAGTGGGCAGACTTAGTAAGTCGATCCACAATCACCCAAATAGAGTCGTATCCAGACTTCGATCTCGGCAGTCCCACCACAAAGTCCATGGTGAGGCGCTCTCATTTCCACATGGGAATCTCAAGTGGCTTCAACAGCCCTCTCGGTTTCTGGTGCTCAGCCTTCACTTGTTGACACACTAGACATGAATTCACGAACTTCGCTACTTGCCTCTTCATTCCTCGCCACCAAAAAGACTTCTTCAGGTCCTGGTACATCTTCGTGCTACCAGGATGAATAGTATAAGGCGCACTGTGCGCCTCCCGAAGAATCTCACGTCGCAGTTCCCACACCTTCGGAACACATAGTCTACCCTCGAAGACTAATGCCCCATCAGATGCGACTGCGAATCCGCCAACTTTGCCGGCCTCCATCAACTCTTTCATCCGGCATAAGAATCGATCATTCAGTTGTTCAGCGACTATCCTCTCGCGAAGAGTCGGTCCCACAACCAAGGCTGCCAAAACACCACTGGCTGTCGAAGTCGACTCCACCGCCCCTAACTGTAGCCGCTCGAACTCCCGAACTAATACATCCTGCCTTGTGAATAGGCAAGACAGCTGGCCATGACTCCTCCGACTAAGGGCGTCGGCGACCACATTAGCCTTCCGGGGATGGTAGCTAATCTTGCAGTCATAGTCCTTGACCAACTCCAACCATCTCCCCTGTCGCATGTTCAGCTCCTTCTGTGTGAAGATATACTTCAAGCTCTTGTGGTCGGTGAAAATCTCACACTTACCTCCGTAGAGGTAGTGCCGCCAAATCTTCAAGGCGTGGACCACAGCGGCTAACTCCAGATCATGAGTGGGGTAATTTTGCTCGTGAGGCTTTAGCTGCCTCGACGCATAGGCCACTACTTTCCCTTGTTGCATCAACACACAGCCTAAACCCATCTTTGAAGCGTCAGTATAGATTGTGAACTCCAAAGTCGGGTCAGGAATGGCTAATACAGGTGCGGTAGTTAGCCTTTCCTTCAACTTTTGAAAACTGGTCTCGCACTGTGGGCTCCATACAAATTTTGATGCCTTTTTCGTCAGATTGGTTAGTGGCTGGGCTATCTTCGAGAAGCCCTCGATAAACCTCCGGTAGTATCCTGCTAACCCCAGGAAACTACGAACATCACTAGCATTTCTTGGTGTCTCCCACTTGCTCACAGCCTCGATCTTGCCGGGATCCACCTCAATACCTCTAGATGTAATAATATGGCCGAGGAATGCCACACGATCCAACCAAAACTCGCACTTCGAGAATTTTGCATAAAGCTTCTCGCGGCGAAGGGTCTCCAGTACAATCCTCAGATGTTCCTTGTGCTGGTCGATATCCCGAGAATATACCAAAATGTCATCAATGAACACAATGACAAACTGGTCCAGATACGGATGGAAGACCCTATTCATAAGGTCCATGAACACCGCCGGAGCATTGCTCAATCCAAACGGCATCACTACGAACTCATAGTGTCCGTATCTGGTTCGAAACGCGGTTTTGGAAATATCAGACTCTCTGATCTTTAACTGATGGTAGCCAGACCTCAAATCGATCTTCGAGAACACGCTGGCTCCCCTTAGTTGGTCAAAGAGATCCTCGATGCGGGGAAGAGGGTACTTGTTCTTGACGGTAAGTTTGTTTAGCTCACGGTAGTCAATGCACATTCGCATCGACCCATCTTTCTTCTTGACGAAGAGAACGAGTGCTCCCCACGGAGATACACTCGGTCGAATGAAACCAAGATTAAGTAACTCCTGGATTTGGGACTTGAGCTCCTGCAGCTCCTTCGGTGCCATACGATAAGGTGCTTTTGACACGGGACCAGCTCCGGGGACTAAGTCGATAGTGAACTCGACTTGGCGATCCGGTGGTCCACCTGGCAGCTGCTCCGGAAATACATCAAGGTACTCGCATACAATCGAGACCCTCTCCGGAGTCCGTTCGGTATCCTCATTAACCATACTCACTAGGTAACCTTGACAGCTACCCTTCGACAGACCCTTCATGGCTTTGAGAGAAGAGATGACTCGAGGCACAGTCCTCGACTTCACCCCATAAAAGAGAATAGGTTGATCATCATCTGAATAAAGAGTAACTTCTCGCTCCTGACATCGGATGTCGGCTCGATAGCGAGTGAGCCAATCCATGCCAAGGATGACGTCGAAGTCGCGCATATTGAAATTGCGTAGGTATCAGCCTCTAAGATTCGCCCTCCAATGTCGACTTCCAAACCACGGACCATAGAATCAAGGATAAGAGTTTTTCCTAAGGCTAAGCTAACCTCGAGAGGATCGACTTTACACACAACACTAATTGCTAAGGACTCCAAGCAACGAGAAGAAATAAAAGAATGGGTGGCTCCGGTATCACACAAAGCAAAGATGGGCACATTGGATATTGAAAGCATTCCAGACATTGTACCTGCGTTGTTTGCCGCCTCATCATGGGTAATGGTGTAAACACGGGCCTGGCCTCCATTCCTCTGTTGGTTCTGCACTGGGGGCTGTCTAGGTTGCTGCTGATTATGTAGAGGTGGGAGCTGCTGCTGCTGCTGCTGGTAGGGCTACTGTCTCTTGGGTTCGGGGCATGCGTGGTAGAGATGCCCGGGCTTCTGACAGTTGTAGCAGACTCTCTGCTGGTACCAACACTCCCCAGGGTGGGCTCGGCCACAGTTGCGGCACCTCGGAGGTTGGCCCTGAGGGGCAGGGCGCTCGCTGGGTCGGTTAGGACCTCCACGTTTTCCCTTCCGAGGGTCTCGGCGGAAATCAGACTTCCTTTTGTTCGAATTGGAATTAGGCGGAACAGTGGTGACTGGTTGGATCATGGGAGCATGAACATAAGAGGAAATAGGGGTGGGCTGAGGTTGGCGGCTTTCAAGCTGAAGTGCACGGATAACCATCTCCTCATATGGCAGCACTCCGTGACTAGTGAGGATCCAGCAAATGTCCGGGCGAAGACCATCCCGGAACTTAATAGACTTCTTGCAATCAGTGTCCACCAGATGTGGAGCAAACTCACTCATACGGACGAACTCCCGTTCGTACTCCCCGACTGTCCGGGCCTCCTGCTTAAGGTTCCAGAATTCGTACTGCATCTGCATAATGTACTCCTGCGGATAGTACTTCTCCAGAATCACATCCTTCATGCGGTCCCATGTTAAGATAGCCAATTCCGCTGGTCTCAGCCTCCAGTGATTCGACCACCAAGTGGCCGCAGCACCATCCATCTGGAATTGTGCACAGGCAATTCGCTGCTCATCCGTACAAAATAGCAGATCGAAGATCCTCTCTAACTTTCGGATCCATTCAGCGGTAGCTGCAGGACTTTCGACTCCTGTAAAAGTCGGTGGGCTCAGCCGCTGAAACTTCATTACGATTTCAGCATGGTCACTAGCCTGGTTATTTGCTGGTTGCTGGTTCTGCTGGTTACGAGGTCTTGCCATAATTCTACATCATATAATATGGGCATTTAGCACGAGTCTAAAGTCTCTAGAGTTCAACAAATTCAAAACAGGTGGATAAACTCCTAAGCCCCGATTTATATCATATCATATCATAACATTTCGTATATCAGACAACACATAAGCAATTCAAAATTTACTTCTGAAACTCATACCTGAATTGGCGTGGCACGACAGAAGCGAGTGGTCATAACTTACATCATAGAATTCACATATTTTCAAGAGTTCCCATGATTTGAGTATACCAGTCTACAGAAACGCAGACTGGCTTTGATACCATACTGTAACGCCCTACTTTGATTTTTCTGAAAGTCTGGAATTTCTTTAAAATCAAAGTAGGGCGTTACATGTGGAATGAACATTTGGGCCGCGGAGCAGGGCTGGCCCAAGGCAGGTGGAGGGCAGGCCGACATCGGGCTGGATGGACTTCTCGTGGGCTCTGGATAGTGAGGGTATTCGGGCCTCGCGGGCTGGGGCGCGGGCCGCACAGCCCGCGCTCTTTTCTTCTCTCTGCTAGCAAAAAAAAAACTTTCTTGATGAACACCTTAAAATATCACCTTAAAATCTTCTAAAGGATTACCTAAATACCTACTTCAATTAATCTTGGTGGAGCAATTAATTGAATCTCCCTAACTCTCAAATATATGATGAACACAATTTTTCCTCTTCCTTATAGGAACCTTAAAATCGAGTCTCTCTTGTACATCTCAAGAGGTTGGGACATGGTGTATTTATAGGCTCCATTAGGGACCTTAAGGAGGTGCCAAATATGGGCTTATCCCATTAGGTTAAGGAATCCTAATTCTACTCCATAAGCTAATCCCAACTAGGTCATGATTCCTTTCTCTTAACATCACCTTCTAGAAGACTCTCAAGTCTCCTAACCCTAGGTAATATTCTAGAAGGAATATTCCCTATCTCATGGAATATTAAATATGGAATAAAATTAAATAATAATATATCACACTAGAATATTATTATTGCTCCCCCCATTTGGCTCCAATTTAATCAATTAAATCAAACCTCTATTTGATTAATATTTATTAATCTGATTGATCGATTTACCTCCCTATGTTTAAGATATAACGTCCGTTGATTAACTAAATTACTGACAAAATAATTAATAAACTTCTTATTCATTTCCGAAACTAGTACCACTCAGATCGTTAACCATTATATCGGAACACATCCGCCTGCAGGGCTTAACATATTATTCCTTCCTGAGCTCATTTCGTGGACGTCATCAACCCAGCGCACTGGGACACAGTTACCATAAATAATTTATAATAGCACACTATATAAATATTTTTATTTACCATAATACCGAGTATGTCATCCTAACCGAACAGGAATCACCCTTGGTAAATCAAATAAATAAGTAATAAATATACATGTCTATTTTATATTATCTTATAGTTTTAGAGAACGCATCAATCACTGAAGGTCTAGATTACAACAACGATCAGTGAGTCTCATAATCTTTGCCTTCCACGGTTCTGTTCAATACTTAACATAAGTACTAGTGTAGTTCTCCAGTCAAAGATCAATTGAATCAAGAATACACTACAGTCTTTTTCCAAGTGGAGTCTCACTGCCAGTCTAGACTGTGAACAAATAATTTAGTCTTCCAAGGAGTCGATAGGTGACCTTTCTGTTCGAGACACCACGAACCACACTATCTCAATGTAAGACAAGGAGTATGATTGCATAAATAAATAAACTGCAAGCATATGTACTTTGACCGAAACATGATTGCCAGATTAGAATGAAATTGTTCATATCTAAAAGCCAAGCTTTTACAGCATATTCAACACACTTTGCCTAATCGATTGTTTTAATTCTATTGTGCATATATGGTGGCCTATGTTGAATGCCTGATCGAATAAAAATCCATCATGATTAAGGCCGAGAGGCTGTATGGTCGCATGTAACGACCACCCCTTTGAGGGTGGACATGTGCTCGAAGACAAAAAATCCATCATGATTAAGACCGAGAGGCTGGATAGTCGCATGTAACGACCACCCCTTTGAGGGTGGACATGTGCTCGAAGACAAAAAATCCATCATGATTAAGGCCGAGAGGCTGGATGGTCGCATGTAACGACCACCCCTTTGAGGGTGGACATGTGCTCGAAGACAAAAAATCCATCATGATTAAGGCCGAGAGGCTGGATGGTCGCATGTAACGACCACCCCTTTGAGGGTGGACATGTGCTCGAAGACAAAAAAATCCATCATGATTAAGGCCGAGAGACTGGATGGTCGCATGTAACGACCAACCCTTGGAGGTTGGACATGTGCTCGGAGACAAAAAATCCATCATGATTAAGGCCGAGAGGCTGGATGGTCGCATGTAACGACCACCCCTTTGAGGGTGGACATGTGCTCGAAGACAAAAAATCCATCATGATTAAGGCCGAGAGGCTTGATGGTCGCATGTAACGTGTAGCGCCCCGTTCGATTTATAGAATATCTCAGGTTATTCTATTTATCGAATATTATTTGTAAGGTTATATTTATTTTATTAGTCGCGATGTCGACTTAAATAAAAGGTTGGAGTACTCGATCATTTTATTGGAAAACGTTCGTTGTACGGCGATTTCGGTTCAATCGCGTGAACCGAATATAATCCGTTTGAAATATGGAATTTCGAGAATTAATTTTTATTATTATTTATCTTATTTATTGTTATTATTCTTTGTTGTAAGCTAAAATTATTTAAATGTCTAATGTGATTTAATTGTCTAATTGCTTAATTGTCAAAATATTATTTAATTGCCAAAATGTCTAAATGATATTATTATAAATTATTAAATTGTGTATTTGTATTTTTACTAATATTATTATTATTTTAAAAATCTTAATTGTGTGTATTGTAAATATATATATTATATATCCGGCTTATTTATATTGCAATTTATCGAGCCCGAGAAGAAGAACCGAATTAATGCTACGTAGTCGGGCCCGAGAATCGATTCGTCTCTTTGAGCTCGCCCTGAACCCGCGACCCGGACCCCGCCTAAAACCCGTGAGATGTGTGTGCTCGTGTCTTGTTTGCTAAGGCAACTTAAAGACCTAAATATGTATATATATATATATATATATATATATATATATAAGTATCTCTATCCCCTTCTCATTCACGCTCATATCAGACCCCAATTCCCGCAGGCCATATTTTCTCCTTCTTTTTGCGGTCGCGGTTGATCAGGATCTCTCGCTCGAGAAATCTGTCTGTCGCTATCATCGTCCCTCTCCTCCGTCATCTTATATCATCGCCATCTGTGAAATTAATCCCGCCACCATCTCCGTCCAGCATCAACCGTCGCCCTCAGTCATCACCTTCCCCTAGCTTTGAAGTTTTCGATCGCCGTGAAATTTCGCGAGGACCATCCTTCCGGCGATTCCTCCTCCTACGTTGCAGCAACTCCACCGCTGGCGACCTCCTATTCGCGAGCAGGCCCCAGCTGCGATCACGACCACTTCCGGCGAACCCTCCAACTCTGAATTCCGTCTCTGCCCTCTCGCCCTGATCCTCTCGTAGTCGCCGCAAGCCCGTCAACACCTCAGCAGAGAGTAGCCTCTTTTTTCGGCGAGACAAAGCTTGCCGTCGAGCCTCGAGCCGTTTCCCGTGCCGTTCGATCGAGCCCGTCAACCTTTCGTTCGTTCGTTTCCGTTTATTTCCCGAGAACGATACAAGGCTCGACTCGTCTCGTTTAATTTTACGTCTCGTTTATGTTGTGTATTTGATTGTCGTATGTGAAGGTTTAAGTCAAGAATATATGCCTATGTGATTTTGTGTGTATCCGTCAGATTATTTGTGTTGTTTAAGAAATTGTGCGTTGACGAGCCTTTCGATTTTGGAAAATCAAACGTGGCCTCGTCAACTCGTGAATTTGTCGCTGTGCGGTGGAACTTACGTCGTCCATAGTCTTATGGCGAAGACTTCAGACGGATTCTTCGTAAAACGAGTCGGTTATGAATTGTTGAAATTGTTTAATTGTTATTTTGATATATAAGTTATGATAAATTCTGTGATGCTCGTATCAACGTGAAATTTTATGTGCTCGACCCTCTGCTGGAAATACATGTTGTGTAAAAATTTCAGATTTAAATAATATTTTTTGCTATTTTTAATAATTGTTTGTAAATCTGAGCAGAATCTTGTAAAATGCATATTAAATTCCGTTGTGCCTTAAAAATTATGAAATTTGAATATGTTGTCTCCCTGTGTGTTTTCTCGGTCATGTAAAAGTTTCGGAATTTTTGGACTTCGTTTGCTATATTTAAAAATTATTTGTTTTATTATGCAGCTTCATAATTTACTTTTAGTAAATTGAATTCTTGCTGGAAAATTCTGAAACTTTACTGAGATGCTTATTTTATGTACTTATTAATGCTGTTAAAATATGAAAATTTTTTGAGTTCATTCTGATTCGATTTTGATTTAAATTCGATAAACTGCTGAATTTCGTTTGAATTTTTAAAATAAGAAGCAGCAGTTAATGTTAAGGGCTGATATTTTTATATGTTGTTTATATCATGCTGTAGTATATTGTGTAAATTTATCAAGTCCTGAATCATTCATTAAGTTTGAGTATAAATTCATGGCTCGGTTTGAGTATAAATTTTATGTCCTCGACAGAAGAGATAAGGAGAGGAGATCAGATGTAAGCAGGAGATCGAGAGGGTGGTAGAACGGAGAAGACAGCCTGAATTCACTCTTAGATCGAGTCATTCAGACTCGACCAGAGTGGGGGAGGGGACTAGATGATATGGGATATTATATAGCTGAGGAATAGACCGGTTTGAATCATCGGTCGAGCAAGCTCAAAGTGGAGAAAACCGCATTGGCCGAAGGATGATCGACCAAAAGGGAAGAGATCGAGCAGAATAGCAGAACTGGTCGGGGATCGACCTAGCGATGAGGGGTTCGATCAGATCGAGCACCCAACAGGTGAAGAGCAGTCGAGAGCGTGGCTTGAACGCGAGAAAGCGCGTGGGTGGCGTTAGAAGACCCTAACGACATGCACAGAGGAATAATCTCCCTCCACTCATAGGGACACGTGGCGAGAATACATTGGTGCAGAGCAATAGTGGCGATAACCACCTCTGACATCTTTGACACACGCACACTGTGTGTGTACGGACGGGCAGCACGGGTAGGACAACTCACCAAAATTCGGGCAGCTCCTAGGGCAGGTATCTCACTCCTATATATATAGGAGTGGGTCTTTTCTTGTAGCCTACGATTTATCCATTCTCTACTTTGGAAAATTGAACAAACACATACTGACTTAAGCATCGGAGGCTCTTCACTGGAAAACCCCTCTAGTGTGAGAGTTTTGTACAGGTGCGCGACGTTCTACCGGCGAGGAGAGGGAGGCAAGCGGATTTCAAGCCGGTCGGAGTGTTTTGCGTTACCAACATGTTTCTAAGATCCCTTATTTCTAAGCAAGATACATTTACAAGATTATGTATCATCATTCTTTAACATGGCTTCTTAGGTCCTTATGTCGTCATACAGATCTCATGGCACTTCTATCATATTCTTTACTAGGTCCGTACACGACCTCAGATGACCCCTTATTTAGGTCGTTAAAGCCCCTCATCTTGTCGAGCTTTTGTAAGTTGACCCTTATCCTGAGGTACTACACCGAGTTCCTTAACTAGGTCAGACCATGATACTGAGCTAAGTCTATCCTACACTAGATAATCCAAGCTAACCACTCTAATCAGTCTACCAAGTTGTTGAGTGTTGTACGAAGCCGCTATTAGTGTTATATACTGAAAGCTTGACTTTGCATGTTATTACACATTTGCCCTTTATGAATGAGAATCATGTTAGATTAAACAAGTTCTACGCTCTGTTGTTTGCACTTAGATAGAGTGGGTCGTCATCGAGCGAACCATAGATCATTCTATCAGTTACTTGCGAACAAGAATAGTTTTTCACAACCTAGATGGACATGAACACCCTATTTGCACGGTTATAGTGTCAACTGTACAATTTGGCTTGACTGATTAGTTGCACTAGTCATTTATGTATTGAACAGGATCCCGGAGAGGAGAAGTTCATTTTATCCTGATCGTCGTAAATGAACTAGGCTTCGGTTAATTACTGCGTTCTCTTAACCCGTAAGATATTAAACAGGCAGATATATATGGTATATATTACTTTGATTCACTTGGGTGAAGTTCAGTTCGCTGGATTAATATTCCTACTGTTTTGGGTAATATTACTATATATAGGATGTGCTGTTAGGATATTTATGGTCACCATGTGCGTTAGTTAGATGATGTTCTCGGAGTGAGTTCATGAATTATTGTTATGCTAAACCCTGCAGGTAGATTAAATTCCGGCATAATAAGAATTTGATGAACGAGTGCTAGCTTCAGTGAAATAATAATAAATTAATTAATTCTTGATTGTCAGTAATTAAATTAATTAATGAACATTATATCTTAAACGTGCGGAGGTAAATCGAGTAATTATTATTGGAATCTCAAATGTAATTTGGGATAGGAAAAGGGAGTGCAATAATATAATGTACGTGGCCCATTAATATTATTTAAATAATTATAGGAGTGGGCTTGACCCACAGTTAGTCTAATTAATTAAGGAGCCCTATTTCTAATCTCCTAAGGGTCCCTACCGTAGCTCTATATATACATCATTAAGCTCATGAGAAGAGGATCACAATCTCATAAGTTCGAGAAACACGCCCATGCCTCTCTCTCCCCCTTAAGTTCTCATTCGAATTTTATCTTCTTCTTGTTGCTCCACTGGTACAAGTGGAAGAGAGATGTATTGAATAATACAGTAGAAGATCCATATATTATCGAGACCTGTGATTTACAAGAAGTTGACGATTTACGAGCCTGAGCCCGAGACCCGTCAACTGACCTGACGCCGCTGACAGGCTGAGCCGATGGCCACCAGCCGCGACCAGCTGGAGAACCGCCGAGAACCGGCCAGCCCGCGACACGACCGGCGATGACTCGACCATCGCGACCCGACCGAGAGGACGCGACACACACGGTGATTCTACACGTGCGACACAATCCTGATTCACGCGAGCCCGAGACTTCCTTTCGTGTGATCTGATTTGTTCGTGTGTTGTGTACGGCCATCCAGAAGATCAGCCAGATCGCCATAAATTTTAAGACATTAGTTTTCTACGTCAAATCTTTAGATTCGCTACGCATAGGTTTACGTTTGTTATTGAATTCGTGATTTGTACATAACAAGATCCTCACAGATCCCAACAAGTGGTATCACAGCACTTGGTTAATTTGTTTTGTACAAAGTTTGAATTTTTATGGCTTTATTTGACAAGATGTGTTTAGACGTAGCCATATATTGGATTATATTTGCATAATCGATTTTGCAGGAAAATAGTTAATCCACTATTATGGCCGACTATGTATTTGATGAATGTTGTTGAATGTGATGTATGGTTTTAAATTTGTTTTTAAAGCCTCAGACATGTCGAGGAATTGATAGATAAATGTTTGTAATAATTATTCGCCCGGGGATTGACCAGATAGATTTAATTATTTGTTTAGAAAATATGTACATCCATTCGTTGGATCTAGGATCAAATTATATAATTTTGTTTGATGACCGGGAGATCACAAGAGATCAACGAGCCTCAAAAAATTAAAAAAAAAAAAAACGGCGTTTTTCCGACCACCGGCGGCCGGGCGGCGGTGGTCGGCGGCGGCTGAGGGAGGTGGAGAGGTTTTGCCTTGATGACCAAGCAGTACAATATCAATCAGGATTCTACTGCTTAAGGAGTTCCAGTTGAACAGGGAAAGAACTGTCACAATTTCCTTGTTTAAGGTGACTCAATATTTAATGGCCATATTAGTGGATTTATTTATTTATTTAAATCCATTATGCCATTAGTTATTATTTATGCATGTTAATTAATTATGTTCTTGCATGAGATTTATTTAGTATTGCAAGAAAAATTATGAATGTTAATTTATTATGTAATGCATAGGATTAATTTAGAATTGTGTCAATAAATCATGCATGTGCATTGACATATATTAATTTAAAATTGCATGAATTATTATGCATGTTAATTAATTATTGTATTAACATAGATTAATTTAGAACTGCATAAGTAGTTAAAAATCCTCATTAAATTATACTCTCTCCTACTTTTAATAAATGTCGTTTTGAGAAGTTGCACAGTAATTAAGAATATTTGTTTTGCCAATAATAACCCTCATAAGGATAGAGATGGATGTTTTGATAAAAGATGAATAGTGAATATAAAAAAACATAGTTAGATGGGGGTAATAATAGAAAAATATGCACAAAATAGCCATTTATTTAACAAATGATCAATCAAGCCAGGATGACAAATAATAAAAATAGAAGGGAGTACTAAGTTTGAGAAGAGATTTTAAATTAAAGTTAATTGTAAAATTCCTAAGGCCTCAATTTCTAATTTGTCGGTAATGAATTTATTGCGTTAATGGGCTCCCCCACGGGTGACATTGCAAAAATTAATTGTAGGAAATTACCAGGACAAATTTTTAAAATTAGACGGTTAGTGAGAATCTTAAGAGAGCGCACGGGCCTCCCCACGGGGAACGTGTAATCAATTTTGACGACCTCAAAATCGAGAAATGGGATTCACTGAGAATGCGATTTATTTATAAACTCCCCACGGGGTCCTTGAATTTATTGCATGGCCAAATGGAGACCGACTATTAATTTTGTTTGTCATGAATTTGGTTTTGACTTATGGAAAAGCCCTTCTCTTACAAAATGCGAGTTTGTAAGGCGACCCGCATAGCATACATTCTCACGAGGTGTAATAGATGTCGGTGAATTTAGTTAATATTGTTTTGAGAATATCAATATTAACAGTTCAATTCAATTGTGTTTAATCTATAAAATTTTTTTGCATGATCCTCAGAATATTCATCATGTCATTCAATCCGTTGTTTGTCATTCTAAAAGAAAATCAGTTTACTGGTCCTAATTACATTGATTGGAAGAGGAACTTAGACATAGTGTTGATTGCTGAGAGTTATAAGTTTGTTATCACTGATGCTTGCCCGACAGTGCCGGCGGCAGATGCTCCTGAGTATGATAAAGAAGAGTATGATCGGTGGAAGAAGGCTGATGAGATGGCGAAGTGTTACATTCTGGCTTCTATGTCGAATGTTCTTCAACATCAGCATCAGTCTAAGGACACTAAAACAGATATACTACTCCATCTTAGGGATCTGTTTAGACATCAGTCTAGGACTGCTAGGCAAGAGGCTTTGAGTGCTCTAATGAATACGCGCATGGCAGAGGGCACACTCGTAAGGGAGCACGCCCTCAGGGTTATGGCGCAACTCAATGAGCTTGAGGTTGTGGGAGGTTATATTGACGGGTGTTGGGTTCTATTAGGAACGTCAACGACATGCACAGTATTGAATTTATCGAAATAAATCCTAATGCAACGGAATCTATAGTTAGGATTAAGACATTACCTTTTAAATTTTTTGCCGACTAAGAGACGTTTCTGATTTTCGTTGATGGAGATCGTCTGATTACCACAACCCAATTGGTTGAAGGATTTGGCCTTTCTCGATTCTAATCGAGTGTTGAATCACGAACGGATCACCAGATTGAAAGGTCGGGTTGGAACTAACTTTGGATCGCATCTCGGTCAGGTCGGGTTGCAGCGGTTCGGTTGCGGATACGGATCACGGGTTTGCGCTGACCGGGATCGGGCAATGCGAGTCGCGGTCGCTGTCTGTTGCGCGTCGGGACGTGACACGCCGGTGGCAGACGGTCACGAGGTGCGCAGGCGCGTGTGGGAGTGGAGTCCTAGGTCGAGGCGGACTGGGGCGAACAATGTCGGGTGTCACGCGGGCGTGCTCGGGATGTCTCCTATGGGCGCGAGGAGTTCTGGTCGAGCGAGGTCTGTCGGACGCGTGGAACACGGACGTCGGATCACGCAGAACACGAGCAGGATTAACGGGATCAGCGTGCACGTGATGCGCGAAGGAGCTGGGCGTCGCGGCTGGGACCTGTTCACGAAGCTCAGCTGCGTGCGGTTGCGGGCCTGTGCTCTCCACTGCGTGCGTTTGGGCTCGGGACGGGTTCCGGTGACTTCGGCAAGCGGCGGCGATTTTCGGCGACTCTTGGTGGCTGCGGTCGGCGGCAAGGGGTGGCTGGATTATTTGATCTTTAAGGTTTGATAAATATCACCTTAAAATCTTCTAATGAATTACCTAAATACATACTTCAATTAATCTTGGTGGTGCAATTAATTGAATCTCCCAAACAATTGAACAAGACAATCTTTCTCTCAGGAATAAGGAAAAATCGACCCTCACAAGGATTGACAAAAGGTTGGGACATGGTGTATTTTTATAGGCTCTATTAGGGACCTTAAGGAGGTACTAAATATGGGCTTATCCCATTTGAGAAAAGAATCCTAATTCTACTCCATATGTCTTTCCAAACAAGGATAAACCTCCTTCTTCCCAACATCACCTTCTAGAAGACTCTTTAATCTCCTAACCCTAGATAATATTCTAGAAGGAATATTCTTCTATTAATGGAATATTAGTTATGGAATAAAATTAATTCCTAAAATCCTAATTAGAATGAAATAATAATACATCCCACTAGAGTATTATTATTTCTCTCCCCATTTAGCTCCAAATTTAATCAATTAAATCAGACCTCCACTTGATTAATAAATATTAATCTAATTGACAGATTTACCTCCCTATGTTTAAGATATAACGTCCGTCGATTAATTAAATTACTGACAAAATAATTAATCAACTTCTTATTCATTTTCGAAATTAGTACCACTCAGATCTTTAATCATTATGTCAGATGATCATCCACCTGCAGGGTTTGACATAATATTTCTTCCTGAGCTCATTTTGGGAACGTCATCAATCCAGTGCACTGGAACATAGTGAACGTAAATAATTTATAATAGCACGTCATATAAACATTCTCATTTACCAAAGTACCGAGTATGTCATCCTAACCGAATAGGAATCACCCTTGGTAAATCAAATAAACAAGTAATGAATATACACGTTTATTTTATATTATCTTACAGCTTTAGAGAACACATCAATAACTGAAGGTCTAGATTACAACAACGGTCTGTGAGTCTCATAATCTTATCCTTCTGTGGTCTTGTTCAATACTTAACATAAGTACTAGTGTAGTTCTCCAGTCAAAGATCAATTGAATCAAGAACACACTACAATATTTTTCCAAGAGGGGTCTCACTGCCTGTCTAGGCTGTGAACGAATAGTTTAGTCTTACAAGAAATCGATAGATGATCTTTCTGTTCGAGACACCACGAATCACACCATCTCAATGTATGACAAGGAGTATGATTGCATAAATAAATAAACTACAAGCATATGTACTTTGACTAAAACATGGTTGCCAGATCAAAATTGTATTGTTCAAATCTGAAAGCCAAGCTTTTACAGCATATCTAACAATCTCCCACTTATGCTTAATAAGCTCATGGCTATCACTAACCACAATTTTTATTTTCAATCTAATTCTTAAAGACTATTCTACTATATCGCTGTAACACCTGACTGCCGTTCCTTTTATGTGTCTTATAAAGACTTTCGCCGGTAGGCTCTTCGTAAAAGTATCTACTAGGTTGTCCTCTGTATCTTGGCAATAACGAATTCTCCTCGTCCAACGATTTCTCGTATTAGGTGGTACTTGTGCTCTATGTGTTTACTCGCTTTATGAGTTCGTGGCTCCTTCGAATTTTCTACTGCTCCGCTGTTATCACAGAACACTGTAATTGCATCGAGCAAACTCGGCACGACGTCACAGTGAAGGAGAAAATTCCTGAGCCAAACAACTTCTTTCGCTGCCTCTGAGGCTGCTACATACTCAGCTTCCATGGTTGAGTCTGCCATGCATTTCTTCTTGACACTCCTCCATACAATGGCTCCTCCTCTTAAAGTAAACACAAACCATGAGGTTGACTTGCTTTCGTCCCGGTCTGCCTGGAAATCAGAATCGGTGTAACCCAATGGAAGCAATTCATTTGTCTGGAAAATCAACATGTACTCCTTAGCCCTACGTAAGTACTTAAGTATTTGTTTTACCGTAGACCAATGTTCTGGTCCTGGATTACTCTTATATCTCGCCACCATGCCTACAGCATAACAGATATCAGGTCGCATACACAACATCGCATACATGAGGTTTCCTACTACCGATGCATAAGGAGCTGCCTTCATGTCCTCTATCTCTTGAGGCGTCTTTGGGGACATCTTCTTAGATAGAGGGATTCCATGTCGAAAGGGAAAATCCCCTTTCTTTGAATCATGCATGTTGAATCGCTTTAGGACAGAATCTATGTATGTGGATTGGGATAGGCACAATTTTCTCTTCTCTCGGTCCCGAATGACCTTGATTCCGAGAACATGCCCTACTTCTCCCAAATCCTTCATATCAAACTGCTTGGATAACCATACATTTACGTTCGATAACATTTTCACACTGTTTCCAATGAGAAGAATATCTATCTACATATAGCACAAGAAACACCACCACTTTCCATCACTTTTCTTGTACACACAGTGCTCATCCGAACATTGGGTAAATCCACATGATTGGACAACCTCGCCAAAACGGATGTTCCAAGACCTCGAAGCCTGCTTCAGTCCATAAATGGACCTCTTTAGCTTACAGACCAGATACTCTTGTCCCTTTGCAATGAACCCTTCCAGCTGCTGCATATAGATGTCCTCGTCCAAATTCCCGTTAAGGAAAGCTGTCTTAACATCCATTTGTCAAATCTCATAATCCATATGAGTGGCTACAACCAAGAGAATCCTGATGGATTTTACCATAACTACCGGCGAAAAAGTTTCCTCAGAATCGATCCCTTCTTTCTGACTATACCCTTTCGCAACAAGCCTAGCCTTGAAGGTCTCAACCTTCTCATCTGCTCCTCTCTTTCTTTTATAGACCCACTTGCATCCAATGGCGTGTACGCCACTGGGTGGTTCTACAAGATCCCAGACCTGATTGGAATCCATAGACTCCATCTCAGATTTCATCGCCTTTTGCCAAGACTCTGCATCCCAATCTTGGAGTGCCTCATTGTATGTCCATGGGTCAATTTCAAAAACATCTGGGACGGCCTCAGAAGACTCTCCCAGACACATGAATCGTTCGGGCTGCCGGACAACCCTCCCACTACGAATTGTTAAAATTGGATTTAACTTTATTTGAAATAAATCGATTAATCCCAAGAGCGTTCATATCGAATAATTAAGAATCATAACTGAATAGCGGAAGCGTACCTGATAAATTAATGTTGATTGATTTCATTAAAACTTGGGATTTTAGAAATCTTGCAAAAGACCGTGATCCTTATTTTCTCTATTTCTTCCTATTTAACGTATAAAAGAAAGAAAACTGGGTTGAAGAAATAAGATGCCCAACCCTCCTTTTATACAGATGAGCTATTAATTTCCCACCTAATGCACTTAATGTCACCGACAACAACCCACCTAATGCACTTAATAATGCATTTAATGCTTAATGCCACCAGCAACTTCATTCTTTTATTATTATTATAAATAATAATAATTCCTTATGGGTTATCTTTATGGGCATCTCTAACGCCCCACTTTTATTTGCCGAAAATCAAAATAAATTTTTCAAATTATTTCAATAAATACTTGAGGCGTTACTCATTTTCAAAACGGTTTAACAATACTTAACCAAATTTTAAATACTCAATCATTCACCAATACTTAAACAATCATCCATACTCAATTATCAATACTCAAATTCGCAATCCAATAATCAAATCATCCTAGGGAGTACACTCCCTATCAATAATCCAGAAATCAATAATAAAGAAAACAGTAATAGCAATATTCAGTTTTTGGCGGAAGCAATATCATTTATTAAGACCACCACTCGCATCCCTTCGCCGTGCCCACAACACTAACCTGCATCCATGAAGAGCAGGTGGGGATGAGCACAATAGGAAAATCGAGGTGCTCACCGCTATGCAATAATTAATATTCGATAATCAATAAACAATTTTAGGTATGGTCGCAGCATGTATACGAATCAATAATCGTCCCATCTCCTATCAATAATCAATAATGAGTCTCATGTGCACACCTATAGCAATAGACTACTGCCGAACTATATACCGAACGCCTTATCTAAGGTCTTACAACGAGTGCTCGGCCAACAGGTGCAATAATCCACCCCGAACGCCAAAACTTGCGCCTTGGCCTTACATACGAGGATCACCAGCCAAGGCTCACGCCCTGACTGCCAACAATAATAAAGGAGACTACCCGAAGGTACGTTCTATAGCTACGGGGATAACCGTTCGACGGCCGGTACAGCTCACATCGAAGGCTACATGGTCCACATGCATACATTGATCATACCACAACAACAACAATTAATTAAGGCATAGCAATTTCAAATAAAACCCACCTGGTAGACGAGGAAGTCAAATATACAATAATCAGCAGAAGGTAGACAGAGGGCTCGACTCCTCGAACCTAAAAATTAGGGATTTAACTATTATTAAGGGTTTTGATTAAGGTTGACTAAGCCACACAACAACAGCAAGTAAAACACCCAAACAAGAAACAAGAAATCAAGGCAGGTAAGGGCAAATAGAACAAATTAAAAGGCTTATAAATTAAGCATTTCAACTCATGAAATTAGACACAATTTTTAATCATATGAAGCGCAAGTATAAGCTACAGCAAATACAGTAAAATAATGGCACCACTACAACAGTTAAACATGTTTTCTTTCTTCCTCTTTTCTCAAAAGATTCAACAGCAAAAATCCAAGCCATATTAATTGATTTTAAAAAGTTATGGTAACACTACCTTTAACATGCTTATATCCCTAAACACTCAGCCAGTACAAAATAAATTCTTAGCAAAACAATGGCACCAGATTTGCGCATACAAAACATACAAACATATAAAGCATCTCAATTAGTCTTCCAGATAACCCAGACAAAACATACAAACATATAAAGCATCTCAATTAGTCTTCCAGATAACCCAGACCTTAAGCATGCCGTTAAACTTCTTTATAAAACTAATTTAAGCTCACAATTTCCAGCCAAATATAAGGTGGAAAGGTTCAGTTCAAACAACAACATAATAAGCCATAATCTCAACATATCATAGGAGCAAATCACGCCCAGTGACACCACAAGCAAGCCTCCTTTATTTTCTTTTTCTCAAAAATTAACCAACAAAACCAGCATGCATTTGATACCTTTTATTCTCAACCTGTACATATCATATGAAAAGGCTATATAAACTGAATGCAAAGATTTGAGTATATGCCATTTTCAGCATTTGAACCAGTTCAAACATGTTTCAGAAACTCGGCAAAATCATGCCATAACTCAAGCCAAGAACACATAATAACCTTAGCAACAAACGGTAACAGCATGCTCAAAATAATACCCCTCATTTTTCATCCTTCAATCAAGCAATTATCTCCTAAGTCAAGGTCACATAAACTGAGGTCAAAATGCTTTGAATACCCTTCATTTCAGCATGCCCAAAAATGAAAATAAAAGTAAAACCACAAGTCTCAGTAACCACAGCATATCAAATCGGCCAACAAACAACACATATACACATTCATTTTATTCTTCATTTCCACCAAGTATAACAAGCTCTCATAATACCTCGCCTTTCTCTATTAATTTAGAATAAAGAGGTGAAGTTGAATAAAATTCCATAAAGAAACCACATAAATTCAGTATCGAAATATAACCCTACACGGATAACATAGAAAGAAAGGAAGCAACTCATACTAATCATACTCAACACAAACAGTTCGCCATCTAAAAAGAAATTCGTCTAACGTGGCCTCAAATTTCTTAACTGCTGAAGCCTCAATCACACTAGCAGAATGTTAGGAACATCAAAACTTAGGTTCAAATGAGCACAACAGAGCACAAAAATCTCAGTCAAGAATGAGGTAAAGAGGTACAACCTATATACCTTTCGTCCCGAATAAAATGGGGAAAGAGATTCGGGTCTCGTCCACACGATATGGGATCTCGTTTCTGGGAAAAACGGGCCCGGTTCGCTGCAGTCCGGACATCCACACGTCCTCAAAGGCAGCTCGACTGCCACTGTTCAAGCTCTCGGGCTGTTGCCGGGTAACCGGACATTGAAGAACAGACTATTCGGGGCTCATGGCAAAGGATCGACCCACTTTTCTTCTCGCCCGGGGCTCGAAAGGGCTGTCGTCCATTGGAAAAGTCCCCGCTGCTCATCATATAACACAATCGGCGCTGCTGCTGCTCGGAAATGAAACCGACGACTGCTCGATAAGAGCCTCGGGCGGCTGTTACTCGGACACCGGTGAGTTGCTCGCAAAACAAAGGCACACGACGGCGGCTGGTAACGTCTCGACGGTGGCTGGGATTGGCAGCGAGGACGGCTCGCAGACGTGGAGACCGGCGATGAGAGGATGCTCGATGGACAATTTCGCGGCTGCTTGCTTACAGGCGACGCCGGCGGATAGAGCTCGGGCCGTCGCTGACTGAAATTCGCCGGAAATCGGGTGTGCTTGCCAGGAATCTGCTCTAATCGCCATCTGCTTGTTCTCAGTCGGGCCTATCGGAAGTTTGCCGTCGCCGGATGGATTCTCCCTCACTCGCCTGAAGTCGACCTCACAGAAATTCGCTCTCGTCGTGGCTTCCTGGGGAGGGCTGACGAGGGGTCGGATGAACGGACGGAAGCTGCTGCTCATCACGGCGGGCCGCTGTTGCTGTTCGAAAATGGAGTCGCGCGGCTATGGTGGATTGACGGAAAGGCTGAGATTGGCGATTGGAAGCTGGGATCTGCAGCTGCACGCGAGTTTGCCGGAGAAGAAAGACACAATGGCGTGCGGCGATTCTCGTGTTTCCGGTGGGGCGCGGCGCTGTTCCAACCCGGACGGTCGCCGTTGGTCTGTGGATCGGCGGAAAAAGACCGCTGGCTGAAAGGATTTTCTGAGGGAGGTGGGTTTGCTGCTCATTCGAGAGGAGATGGGAGCAAAGCTTAAAAATTTTCTTCCCTTGATCGATTTTGAAGAAATGGAACAAGGGATTCTGGCCGATATTTAAGCAGAGGAGGGATCGGTCGCGAGAAAAATCTCTCGCAAAAATCTCAACTGGTAATCAAATGGAGAGACTCGGTCTCACGCGAAGAAAGAGAAGAAAAAGGCTGGCAATCTCCACTTGGGCCTCATAATTAATATCATTTGGGCCAAAAATAATACTCACAAATGAGCTTGATTAAGTCAAAAGGTAAAATCATAATTGGGCTGGAATTTCTCACATAAATTGGGTCGAAATCATTTAAATCGGGTCGAAAGAAATACAACGCGATAATAAAATTTTTTCGATCGATTCGATTGGCGAAATTAATAAATAATTTGACTTATTATATTAATTAGACTACATCTAATTAATTAATAATAAGTCTAAACAGATAATGTCGAGCAATAATACAATATAGACAATTAGTTTAAGTAATAATAATAAAGCCAATAAATAATATTCGAAAAATCCAATACTCGAATGGTTAGATTCATTTTACGCGATGAAACCGAAATCGCCGAACGACGAACGTTTCACAATAAAACGATTGAGTACTTAAATGTATAATTTAAGTAGGTATCGCGACCAATACAATAAATATTATCTCATAAATGAAATTCGATTAATAGAATAATCCGAGAAATTCTATAATTCGAACGGGGCGTTACAACTTTATTTACACGGCTTTTGGGGACTCCACCCATTAATAATTTTGACCCAAATTTTATGTTATTGAGGTCCTTAAGTGTAATATTATTATTTGGTACGTCACCAAATAATAATATTACGGGGTGTCCACATTTAATCATTCCACAATCTAAATTAAGTTCCTCAGCCACTGTACAATAGTTTGATCACTTAATTTGGCTAAACATTATAATGACCCAATGTATTAATTACACATATTTAATCCCAAATAGATCCAACAATCTCCCACTGGATTAAATATGTGTCCTGATAATACATTATACCTTATGAGCTCAAAATATGGTCATTATTACATAACTTGAACAATCTGGTCCATTAATCATAACAATATAGGACTAAAGCAGTTTTCGCCGTATAGACACAGCTAAAACTATCAATAATCACATATATCACCATGATTAAACGACATAGATTAAATTGTGGAACATGTAGCATGAAAATTACATGAATGTGATCAGCACGTGTCAATTTTCAACTAGTCCAACATTAATGAAATCATTAAATACCATAACATAATGTACAAAGTGTCATGAACCAAAAAATGACAAAAATATGTAGCAAATGCTCCCACTAGAATGAAACTTCCTAAATGTGTAACACACCCATATGAGCAGTATGCTCGTGAAATACCATAGGTGTTACATTTTTAGTTAGGGAATCTGCTAACATAGATTTTGTCCCTAAGTGTTCGATGAAAAATATGACCACTTTGTACCCTCTCCAAATGGTTTGATCTCCTATGTGGGAGTATATAATCCTTAGTTCTCCTACGGTATCTCATCACCCTTTTGGCTGCTTTCCAGTGATCCAATCCAGGATTACCTGAAAGAAATTTCTTAATTTCATGCAACATGCACATATCGATTTGTGGCAATCAGAATGTCATCCACATACAAAACCAGAAAAAAATATTTACTCCCTCTGAACTTGTGATAAACACAATCATCAACAACATTCATCTCAATACCATACGAGATAATTTCTTGATGAAATTTGTGATACCACTGTCGAGACTTTTGTTTGAGCCCATAGATGGATTTTCTTAATCTACAAACCATTTTCTTCGGGCCATCGACCTCAAAGCTTTCTGGTTGTACCATATAGATCATCTCATCAATGTCACCATTGAGAAATGTCGTCTTGACATCCATCTGATGTAACTCCACATCAAAATGTGCCACTAGAGCCATGATTGTTCTAAAAGAGTCCTTCTAAGATATCGGGGAAAAGGTCTCTTTATAGTCAATCCCTTATATTTGAGTATATCCTTTAGCCACAAGATGTACCTTATACTTCTCCACATTACCGATTACACGAGGTACTACCACCTCAGGTATATCATCAGTGATACGTGTTGCAGTACTTTGTGGTGTAACATCAGGTGCACTCGGTATCAGTGTACTCACTCCCTTCACTTCCTCGAGAACATGTCTACTAGTGGGCTTATGATCTAAAACATAGTCTTCTTCCAAGAACCTCGCATTCGTGCTAACGATTACTTTCTGGTCCTCGAGACTATAAAATAGACTACCTTTCGTTTCCTTAGGATATCCCACAAACACCCTTACTTCTGATCTAGATTCTATGTTATCAGCATCGGTTCTCAGCACATGAGCTGGGCAACCCCAAATCCTGTGATGTCCTAGACTGGGCTTGTGCCCTGACCACAACTCTAATGGCGTAGTCGGTACTGATTTAGAAGGTACTCTATTCAGAATGTAAACTGCTGTTTCTAGGGCATATTCCCAAAACGAATCTAGTAATGTAATATAACTCATCATTGACCTAACCATTTCCATAAGAGTCCTATTCCCTTGCTCTGCCACGCCATTCTGCTGGGGTGTGCCCGGCGGTAGTCAGTTGGGAGGTAATCCCATTATCCGCCAAGTAGTCCCTAATTCATTCGTGAGATATTCGCCACCACGATCCGATCATAGTGACTTGATACTCTTCCCTAAATTCTTCTCCACAACCGCCTTATACTCTAAGAATTTCTCAAAGCATTCAGACTTGCGGTGCAATACGAAAATGTACCCATATCTCAAGTAGTCATCGATAAACGTAACAAAGTACTCGAAACCACCTCTCGCTTGAACAAACATAGGACCACATAGATCAGAATGAACTAGCCCTAACAAATCTTCGGCTCTATTCCCCTTTGATTTAAAAACCTCTTATTCATTTTGCCTTCCAGGCAAGACTCACAAGTTTGACAAGCCTCGACTTCTAACGACCCCAAGGGCCCGTCTGCTACCAACCTTTGAATTAAGTAATTGTTTCTGTTGCAGTGGAGATGACTTTGGTTCTAGAATATATAGATTGTCTACTAATGAACCACGACATATGAACTTTTTGCCAAAACAAATAACAACTTCATTATCGATAATAGCAAAAAAAACCGTTCATAAACAACTTAGAAACTGAAATCAAATTCTTTCAAAAACGAGGAACATAAAGACAATCCTTCAAAACCAAAGTTCTATCTAAACCAAAATCTAAATAGACGTCTCCCACTGCAACTGCTAACGCTCTACTAACATCGCCCAAGTAGATGGTAACTTCTCCTTCCCTAAGCCATTTGGTTTCCTGGAACCCCTGCAAATAATTACAGACATGATCAGTGGCTCCTCTATCTACACACCAGGTTCTGGTAGACAACACCGCTAAACATGTTTCAACGACTAATGAAAAAGATGTACCTTTATCGCCCTTCTTGAGGAGAGGGCTGTTGGCCTTTCAGTGTCCCTTCTGCTGACAGTTGTGGCACTTGCCTTTCATCTTCTTTGCAGCATGCTGCGGTCGCGCATCATTCATGTCTGCTTTGCCCTTTCCTGCGGACTTCTTCCACTTCTTACCCTTAGGAGGCCTAGAAGAAGAACCTTCACCCCGCTGGGTAACCATCGCTTAGGACTTGTGACGAAACATGCCCTCTGCCGACTGAAGTTCAACAACAAGTTTCGGAAGAGTCATCAACATCTTATTCGTGTTATAATTGTTAGATATGCTGTAAAAGCTTGGCTTTCAGATATTAATAATACCATTTTGATCTGGCAATCATGTTTTAGTCAAAGTATTTATGCTTGCAGTTTATTTATTTATGCAATCATACTCCTTGTCTTACATTGAGATGGTGTGGTTCGTGGTGTCGAACAGAAAGGTCACCTATCAGTTCCTTGTAAGACTAAATCATTTGTTCACAGTATAGATTGGCAGTGAGACCCCACTTGAAAAAAGACTGTAGTGTATCCTTGATTCAGTTGACCTTGACTAGAGAATTACACTAGTACTTATGTTAAGTATTGAACAGGACCACCGGAAGGATAAGATTATGAGATTCACTGATCGTTGTTGTAATCTATACCTTCAGCGATTGATGCGTTCTCTAAAGCTATAAGATAATATAAAATAGTCGTGTATATTCATTACTTGTTTATTTGATTTACCAAGGGTGATTCCTATTTTATTAGGATGACATACTCGGTACTTTGGTAAATAAGAGTGATTTTATGACGAGCTATTATAAATTATTTATGGTACCGTGTTCCAGTACGCTGGATTGATGACGTCCCCGAAATGAGCTCAGGAATGAATATTGTGTTAAACCCTGCAGGTGGATATTTATCCGACACAATGATTAAGGTTCTGAGTGGTACTAATTTCGGAAATGAATAAGAGTTCGATTAATTATCTTGTCAGTAATTTAATTAATCCACGGACGTTATATCTTAAATTGGGGAGGTAAATCAGTCAATCAGATTAATATTTATTAATCAAGTGGAGGCTTCATTTAGTTGATTAAATTGGAGCCAAATGAGAAGAGCAATAATAATATTCTAGTGGGATATATTATTATTTAATTTTATTAGGAATTTAGGAATTAATTTTATTCCATATTTATTATTCCAAGACTTAGGGAATATTCCTTCTAGAATCTCACCTAGGGTTAGAAGACTAGAGAGTCTTCTAGAAGGTGATGTTAGGAGAAAGGAATCATGACCTAATATGGATTAGCTTATGGAGTAGAATTAGGATTCCTTGACCTAATGGGATAAGCCCATATTTAGCACCTCCTTAAGGTCCCTAATGGAGCCGATAAATACACCATGTCCCAACCTCTTGAGACACACGTGTGAGACTCGTTTTTTCCATCTTTCAAAGAGAGAAAAATTGTCTTGTTCGAGAGTTAGGGAGATTCAATTAATCGCACCACCAAGATTAATGGAAATAAGTGTTTAGGTAATTCATTAGAAGGCTT